GGTGGTTTCCCCCATGCTGTTATTCTAATAGTGAGTGAGTCTCATGAGATATGATGGTTTTATAAATGTCTGGCATTACCCCTGTTGGCAGTCATTCTCTCTCCTGCTGCCCTGTGAAGAGGTCCCTTCTGCCATAGTTATAAGTTTCCTGAGGCCTCCCCAGCCATGAAGAGCTGTGAGTCAACTAAATATCTTTTAAAATAAATTACCCAGTCTCGGATATTTCTTCATAGCAGCTTAAGAACTAACTAATTCACCCAGCCAGAGCAATCATGAAAAAGAAAGAAATAAAAGTCATCCAAATTGAAAAAAGGAAGTCAAATTTTCCCAGTTCACTGATAATATGATCTACAGCTAGAAAACTTGAGTCTCCACCAAATACCTTTTTAATTTGAGAAATTAATTTAGTAAAGTTTGAAGATCCACATACAAAGTTACACAAATTGATAGCATTTCTACGTACCAATTATCATCCAGCAGAGGATCAAATAAAGAACACAATCTCATTGACAACAGCTAGTAAAAAATAAAATAGCTAAGAATAATTTTAGCCAATGAGGTAAAAAGTATCTACAAGAAAAACTATACAACACTGATGAAGGCAATTGTAGATGCCAAAAACAAGTGGACCAATATCCCTTGCTCTTGGATTGAAAAAATTAATATTATTAAAATGATCATACTACTCAAAGCAATCTACAGATTTAATGCAATCCCTAAAAAAAATCATTTTTCACAGAAATAGAAAATACTATTTTCTATTTCTATTTCTATACAAGTTCATATGGAACCAAAGAAGAGCCTGAATAGCCAAATAAATACTAAGCAAAAAGAATAAGGCTGGAGGCATCCATTACCTGACTTCAAATTATACTATAAGGCTACAGTAACCAAAGCAGCATTGTACTGATATAAAAATAGACACATAGATCAAGGGAACAAAGTAGGGAACACAGAAATAAAGCCATGTACTCAGAGCCAACTTTTTTGTGATAAAATCAATAAGAACATATACTGGGGAAATTACACCCTTTTCAATAAATGGTGCTGGGAAAATTTGATTGCCATATACAGAAGAATGAAATTGGACCCTATCTTTCACCATATGCAAAAATCAACTAAGGACGGATTAAATACTTTTGCAAGACATGAAACCATTAAAGTACTACAAAAATAATAAAGGAAAATTCTCCTAGATATTGGTCTAGGCAAAGTATTTATGAATAAGACTAAAAAGCACAGGCAACAAAAACAAAAATAGACAAATAGGACTTAATTAAGCTAAAAATCTTCCGCGCAGCAAAAGAAATAATCAAAACTGAACAGACAATCAACAGAATGGGAGGTAATATTTGCAAATAATGCATGTGACAAGGGATTAGTAGCCAGAATTTAGAAGGAACTCAAACAACTCAGAAAGAAAACTCCAAATAATCCCAATACAAAGTGGGCAAAGGATATGGATAGACATACAAATGGTTAACAGGCATATGAAAATGCTCAACATCTCTAGTCATCAGAGAAATGTAAATTAAAACCACAATGGGATATCATTTTACACCAGTAGGAATGGCTATTTTTTTAAAATAGAAAAAATAATAAATGTTTCCAAGTATTTTTTAAAAGACAAAAAATATCGAATGTTTGTGAGGAGAAAAGGGAATGCTTATACACTGTTGGTAGGAATGTAAATTAGTACATTCACTATGGAAAACAGTATGGAGATTTCTCAAAGAACTACAAATAGAACTACCATTCAATCCAGCAATCCCACTACTGAGTATCTACCCAAAGGAAAATAACTCACAGTATCAGAAAGATATCTGTACTCATATGTTTATTGCAGTACTATTCACAACAGCAAAGATATGGAATCAACCTAAGTGTATATCGACAAATGATATGATACAGAAAAAATGTAAGATACATATATATGCAAGATATATTTATGCATATATATATATGTATCTTGTACTTTTTTGGGTCATAGTATTCATATACATTCCAAATAGTAATCCTATATATACATAGGTGCAATATATATATATATATATGTATATATATATCACATATACAGAGAGGAATACGATTTGGAATATATATATAATGGAATACTATGATCTAAAATGTGCTATATAAATAAAAGTATAAACGGAATACTATTTATCCATAAGATAGAATGAAATATGTCTTTTGCAGAAATATGGATGAAAATGGAGGCCATTATCTAAAGTGTAACAAATCAGGCACAGAAAGAAAAATACCACGAGTTCTCACTTATAAGTGGGAAATAACACGTACACAGGAGTGTAGAGTGGGAATGATAGACAATGAAAAGGTGAAGGATGAAATAGGGCACATGATGATGAGAGATTACTTACTGGGTGCAACGTACATTATTTGAGTGACAGAGACCCAAAAAGCCCTTTTTTTCATATGCAATCTATGCATATGCCAAAATGTATTTCTGACAGATTTGTATAGAAACAGAAATTTTTATCAAAGGGTGTTTTAATTAAATATATCTCTATTAACTTACTTTAGTCAAAATAACTGCATGAAAGTAGATCCAATTTCTCTTTAGCATAAAATGGTTTCTGTGTAGTTGTGTATTTGTCAGGGCATACATAAGCATGTGTTCTCACTTCACCTTTTAAAAAGTTATGTAAAATTGTTTGTAACAAATTGAACTTTCTTTTTTAAAAGGTTGCATATGAAATAAACTAATAAGCCTTAAACAAAATTTTAGTTATATTCCTGTAATAGATAAAAAAATAGAACAATATTTGGATTGAGAAAATTATCATTTCCATTTCCAGCACCATAACTATGAACCACATTTCCATGGGCCTCTTGACTCAAATTATTCACAAAGCTAACCAAAGTCGCAAACATTCAAACAAAATAAAGCTAATTCCATGGGGTACTTATGAAAACCAACCAATGTGCTTTTGAAGAGTCATAAGCATGCCTCTATTGAGAGTACTCTTCCATCATTTCAAAACCAGTATGACACCATTACTTTGAAATGCTTTTGTTTGTTTGTTTTAGAGAAGGGGTCCACAATGTTGCCCAGGCTGATCTTGAACCCCTGGGTTCAAGTGATCTACCTCTTCTTGGGCTCCTAAGTAGCTGTTTATCACCACCACTGCTTCCAGGTTTGCTTTTTAATATAATTTCACAATTTGTGTTGTCATATTTTCTTAACAGCTATCCAGTTTCAAAATCATGGGAAACTTATCCCACATTTCATGTGAGATTTTCTTCTCAAAGACAACTCTAAATCCAAGTTTCCATTTCAGTCAAACATTTAAATAACAGACTTCTCATTAGTTATGATAGACTAACCCATTATCAACCACAAGCTTTATTTTTACCCTTTAATTTTTTTTATTGATTCAGGGGTACAAGTGCAGTTTTGTTGCCTGGATATTTGTGTAGCAGCCAGTCTTTCTAGAAAGTCTGCAGCCAGTCTTTCTAGGAAGCAGACATCCACTTGGTGATATAAATATATATGAAGCTTTACAAAAATGATCAATTTTTCTTTTCCTTTCTTAAAAGGTTATGCTTTAAATTTTCTTCAGCACTTTAGAAGTCTCTCATATTACAAGCTAATTTTAAAATGAAACAAGTGTGTCCAAAACATCACATTTCCTCTGCCTTCACTTCTTTCACCTCATGTCTATCTATTACAGCTGTATCAATATTGCAAGGCTCAGTTGCTATCCATCAACTATATAATGCCTTCCCAGGCTCAGTTGAAGTCCATCAGCTATATAATGCCTTCCCAGTCTCAGTTGAAGTCCATCAACTATATAATGCCTTCCCAGGCTCAGTTGAAGTCCATCAACTATATAATGCCTTCCCAGGCTCAGTTGAAGTCCATCAACTATATAATGCCTTCCCAGATCTCTGACTCCTCTCTTCTTAAAGGTAGGTATAATCACTCCTTCCTGTAAATTCCTGTAATACTTGGTGGTTGTCTTATGTTTTCCATCATAGTCTGTCTTGTTAGCACAAGATAAGTGGGTACTTGTTTGTCTCACATTTATGTTTGGGACTCCTGGAAGTCAAGGAGTATATCTTCCTTATAAATTTCGCATATCACTCAATACCCTGACATGTATTTCTTAAGGGTATAATATTTGTTGAGTAAGTGAAGGAATAAAGGAGGGAATCAATGGGTTTCTGTGATTAACTAAAATCTTGGGATCCTGTGTACCCATATATCACGTCCTCACAAGAAGAAAAAGTATTCAAAAGCCTAGTGCATATGATAATTGGAAAGAGAGCGGAAAAGCTATATGCCAAACTAAGAGGAAAAAGAAGGGGTAGCTACAAAATATCCTTTGTGTTTCATTATCCTATGCCCATAAACTTCAAATAATAGTATTCTAACAATATAATGTTAATGCAATAAATTACCATAAATATTATTAATGTTTTGCGTGTTTTAAAGTATATTTTGCACATATTATCTGCAGACAGCCCATGAAATAAGCAGCATTGATTATTAACTATGACCTTCATTTTATAGTGGAGGAAACATATTCAGGAGGGCAAACTGCAATGCTCAAGTTGATTTAGCTAAGTTGCAAATCAGAATCGGAACCCAAATCTGTAAGTCCTGCATGGTATATCATAGCTCATAACTGTCTCTCAAACTCCAAAAAGATGCACAGTGTTTACTTTGTTTCACCCCAGCAATGGGAATGGTTTTTGCACACTCTTCTACTCTGTCATTAATCTGCCCATACCTCCCACACACTGTGCACATGACTGCAAGACAGAAAATAGAATTAAAAGTGAGCTCTGTGGCCATGAAATGAAAACAAACAACAATTCTGGCAGGCGTAGTCACAGACTAAACCCATCAATCCTGTATGCTAACCAACTGAGTCAATGAGCTGTGTTACTACTGAAGATCCAGTGGGATTAATATTTTATCAAAATTTGCATGTAATTGATACCTTTGTCCTTTTCTAAATCATGATTCTTACCTTTATAACAGAGGTACCAGCTCTGGAGAGTGGACTGTGAATCTGTGCTGCAGCAGCCATGTTGGCAATAGTATTGAGATGGTTCATCTGATTCATTGCCATGGCAACTGATGCAGGAGGTAAGCTGACTGGAAGTAGGGGATGAGGCATCATCATAAATGGCAGATCCAGTCCTAAAAGAGACAGTGCATATTAAACTTGTTACATTATTATTATCTGAAATAGTTTGTTAAAAAGTATCTAAATTCGTTCTTAGTTTTCTTAAAAAAAACAATTTTTATTATATTCTAATGTCTCTTTGTGCCGTTAATAGTAACTGTGGTATTTTATATTGTTTAATAATTTTTAAAATCTTCCTATATCCACATATTTAATTATAAATACGCTTTTTTCTTGCTTTCACTACCAAAATATTTATAAGATGCGATCTTTTTTACCCATAAAAACCAACATAAATCTTTAAGCCAAACACGATTGCATTTCAAAAATAAGAACTTTCTTCTTAATCATCATAACCATTTTGTAACATCATAACAGTAATGTATTGATGTGTTGATAGTTTACAGCTTTACAATTTCATTAAGAGACTTAAGAGACCATCCTGCTGGTAAGGCCGAATGTAGATTCACTAAGCTTCAGAACTATAGAAGAAAACAAGACTTGGAATATGTTATACCCTTTTAGATATAAATCTCTAAAATGAATGCTTATATTAATAGCTTTAATTTAAAGTCTTTGCCAATAAGTAATAACTCCCCTATCAAACTATCAAACTATTTTCCAGTTTAATAATAAATAATAACATTGCTGAGTAGTTTCAGGAATTTCATTTCTTTTCTTATGCAAGTTGAAATAATTTTCACACATTTGAAATACCTGAAAGAATATCTCTCAATTATTAACCACATCCAACTTGTGGTAACCACAGATATGCCGTCATGTAAAAAGGTAACATTAAAATAATTGTCTACTTATCCCTTGATAGGCTTGGATTTGTAGGACGAAAGGTCTTTGAGCAGAATCTACTAAAAGTTAGTCTGCTTTATGGATATAAACGTGACTATAAATCAACCATAGCACTTATTATAAACCATTACCTCTACAGTAATCTTGCCTTATCTTGGACAGAGCCCAGAAAGCAGTAATCTTTAATAGATGTTCTAAAACATCCTTCCCTATAATTTTTCTAAATTATCACAAACTACAGAAATTTTAAGGTGGACAGCATTTATGTTGGTCCTGCGCACAAGCATTAAGTATTAATAACGTCCTGTTTTTTTCTTTGTAATCACTTCACTTTTCCTTGCTTCCCTTATCATAGCAGAAAAAGAACATCAGTGAATCTATAGGAAGTATATTAAAAAGCTCCCTAAACCTTATTCCTCAAAACAACAGTGGCGGTAATACAAATACTCAAAACACACACTTTTAGGACAAAGATTTTCTCACATTCCATGGCTTCTTTTCATTTTCTTAACAGTGTGCTTCGCAGAGTAGTTTTTAATTTTAATAAAGTCCAATTTTAATGGGAACTAGAAGGAAGAAGCAGTGTTAATTTATTTGAGGGTCATCTCCTGATTTCAATTATAATGCTTGATCTAAAACTGATAACAACGAAGTACAAAGGCAGCACAAGCAATGGAATGCATTTCCAGATAGGTCAGGTCTCACACTACACTCAAGTGAGCATCATAATTAAATGAATTGTTAAATAAAGAAAACATTAGCCACTAGTGTTTCTGATAAAGACAGCCACAAAATGCACTGTTATCAGAATTACACAAGGATAAAACCTAACCTGGAAACTTAAATTCTAAATGGAACTCAGGAAAGGAAACATTCTCGGTACTCCCTATCTGATTCTATATCCCAAAGTTAGAAACCGTTTTAAACTTTTCTCCTATTCGTGTTCACCTATGGCTCACTATCTCTAAATCCTTTTCAGGAGAAGCCTTCCAAACCAAACTTATGAACTATGAAACATTTTTCTTGGAATTATTAATTTATCAAAGAAGCCTCAAAACAAGGCTTACAACATTGAATTCAAAGTGGCCTTTTCCACTCTCTTTTAATTATTTTTACTTTTTAATTGTTAAAATTTTTATTATGAATTGACAAATTATAATTGTATATACTTATGGAATACAAAGTGATTCTATTATATATTATATATGTGTACACACATATATACACACACACATATATGTATACACAGATGCACACAATGTGTGATAATTAAATAAAGCTAATTAATATAGCCATCACCTCAAACACTTATCATTCTGGATAACATTATGCTAAGCAAAATAAGCCAAGCACAGAAAGACAAACACTGCATAATCTCATTTGTATGTAGAACTCATTCCCTTTTAAACTAGAAGCATGTTTTCAGTTAGCCTTTTAAAAGTACTTAGGTACATATGCATTTTAATACTTAAATTATCATATAGTTTATGCAGTAGTAATATTTTATAATATGTATTAAGCTAACCACTGTTTGTCTTTCTCCTGAAACCTTATGTTCAACATAATAACAACAATCAATGATCTAAGTAGGTTTCTATATAAGGCTATCATTTACCACAAGCCCAAGGTAATTATAGGCTTCAGTCACAAATTGATCAATCTTAGATGAAAAGTAGCCATCAGTGCTTCCCTTTACTATTCAAATAAGCTTTTGTTCAATTTACACTTCCCTTAACAGTATAATAATCTTTCCTCATTCTCCAAAGATTTTCAGCATCACCTAGACACCATCTGGCGATAATAAGAAATAGGCCTACTTAAATTCCAATTGACATGCAAACTAAATGCCTACTGCAAAAAGAATTTAACAGTCCATTGGCAGTCAGTTTTAAAATCTAATACAACAAATATTTCAAATGACCATGAAAGGTTTAAAACTCATACTTTGAAATCGTGACCTGCAATAACTGTCAATTGACTATAATGCCCTAGAATTTAAGCTTACTCTAGTATTTACGTTACACCCCAGTTTAACAATGACCCACATGAGTTCTCCATGGAAAGCATATGAAAACACTGAATTGTGATAGCCAAACTTTTCCAAAACTGAACACATAAAATTAAAAGCCATTAGTAGTACACACTACACCAGCAATCTGGCTCACTTAGTCACACGCCAGATACACACATAGCTTTTTAATAATATAGTAATAAAGGCAAATCTTTAAAAAAAAAAAAAAACCCACCAAAATGAGTTATCTCTTTTCTTATTGACCTCATGGACATTATGCAAGTTACTGTAATTCCTTTTTTTTTTTTTTATGAGATGGAGTCTCACTGTGTCACAAAGGCTGGAGTGTAGTGTAGCTCTCAGCTCACTGCAACCTCTGTCTCCCGGGCTCAAGCGATTCTCCTGTCTCAGCTTCCCAAGTAGCTGGCATTACAGGCATGTGCCACCATGCCCAGCTAATTTTTGCATTTTTAGTTCAGACAGAGTTTCACCATGTTGGCCATGTTGGTCTCGAACTCCTGACCTCAAGTGATCCACCCAGCTTGGTCTCCCAAAGTGCTGGGACTACAGGCATGAGCCACAGCACTCAACCTATAAGAATAATTTCTAATGCATCTTGATATTTCAGCAACTCCTATAATTTTTATGTAAGTGCATAGCAGCACCTCCTTCTAGCCATGAAATGTACAAACTTTAGTAATCCTCTAATTCTCTATCTAAATCACACATTGCTTTGATTTCCAAGTCATGTTGACTTCTGTAATATTTTGTCATTTCTACAGGGACTACCAGGCATTAATCCCTTGATACAAGTACCCTATCTTCCCAATTGGTCTTCCTCTGGCTTTTCATTTGCCTTCCACTCCCATTTTAAGACTTCCCATTTTATGCTACTAGAATAAAATACAAGCATTCTTATTTCATCCAAAATTACCTTTCTGGTTGTAATGTTTCATTATATTCATCTATGTATGCTGTACTCTAGCCCCACTGGGCTATTTATGTCCACAGTTTGAATTCACGTTAGCCTTCACTCATGTTAATGCTTCTCTCTGGAATCTGCCTTCCTAACCCAATTGATTTGCTTAAATAAACTGTCCTTCTCTTTAAAAAATAAATAGACTGGTTTTAGAGCACTCTTAGTTTAACAGAAAACACTAGCGGAAATTACAGAGAATTTCCTTATACCTCCACTCTGCCATCACACAGTTGACCCTCATATTAATGTCTTGTAATAGCTACATTTGAGAAATCAGTATTGATGTATTAATATTAACTGCAGTCCAGAGTTCACAGCAGAGGTCACTTTTTCTATCTCTCCCCCCAACCTCTGGCAACCATTGGTCTTTTTGGGCTCTATAGATATGTCTTTACCTGAATGCTATCTAGTTAGAATCACACACTATTTAGCCTTTTCAGACTGACCTGTTTCACTTAGCAATTTGCACTTCAGGTTCATCCAAGTCTTTTCAAGGTTTGACAGCTCATTTGTATTTATTGCTAAATATGGTACCATAGTACATATATACCACAGTTGGTTTATAAATTCACCTATTAAAGGATATCTTGGTTGTTTCTAATTTTTAAAAATTAAATAAAGTTACTGTAAACTTTGGTGTATAGCTTTTTGTGTGAACTTAAGTTCCCCATTGATGTGTATAAATACAGGACTATGTTTACCATCGTAAAAAAAAAATGCCCAAAATGTCTTCCAGAGTCACTACACGATTTTGCATTCCCATGAACAAAAAACTGAAAGTTCCTGTTACTCCAAATCTTTGTGAGCAATTGAGGTTGACAATTTTGGATTTTATGTAAGTGCATAGCAGCACGTCCTTCTAGCCATGAAAGGTACAAACCTTAGTAATCCTCTAATTCTCTATCTAAATCACACATTGATTTGATTTCCAAGTCACGCTGACTTCTGAAATATTTTGTCATTACTACAATGACTACCAGGCATTAATCCCCTGATACGAGTACCCTATCTTCCCAGTCGGTCTTCCTGTGGCTTTTCATTTGCCTATTGGCTTTTCATTCAACAGGTGTGTATGGGTATCTCCTAGTTGTTTTAATTTGCAATTCCTTAATGACATATTATATTGAAGATGTTTTCATATGCTTATTTGCCATCTGTGTCTTAATTGATGAGGCGTCTTTTAAGGTCGTTTGTCCACTTTTAAATTTGGTTATTTC